AAAGTGCTGGTGCTAGTACTCCTGGTGCTGGTGAAAGGCTGCGAACCCTGAGGCTCGGCTGGAAAGCTACCCGCCACGCTCGCAGGACGTCCTCGCAGGGTGCTTTGGCGCGCGTCGAAGGCCCTCTCTTTGGGGCGACCAATGGCGACGTCGCAAGCCTGCGGTATCCCAAGCGAAAGCAAACCACCTGTACGACGGTCAAGTACCAAAAAATCCTGCTCTCTTCACCTGCATTGAAGCAGGGTGACGGTGTCGTGCATGACAATAGAGTCGGGTGTCGTCCAGAGTGGGCGTCCAAAGAGTCGGTCGGGTGTCGGCGGTGGACACGTGAGTTTAAACCAACATCCAGCTGGGTTGCGTTCGCACATATCCTGGATTTCCTGAGTGTTTCGAACGGAGATCTTGATCATTCACCAACGGCATCTCAAAAGCTACCGGTGTGACACCGCGAGAAGCAATTTAAAAAAGCATCCAATGAAACCAGAACTGTTTCACAACTCCAAAAACCTAACACCTCCGGGTCATCTTGGACTATTTATCACTATCACTCTTTTCCAAGACCAAGGATAAGCACGGTGATGAGCCTCAGGCCATCCTTTCCAACCCAAAACACGAGACAACGGGTCCCGTTCGGTGGTGAGATCCGAGGGTCCAAGGCCGGTCCTTGAGGATTCTGGGCTTGAAGTTCAAGAACAACTCCACCTACCAGGGCGAAGGAGAAGGGCCCCGCTTTTTTGGTGTTCTTTTATCCGTTTTTTGCTGAAGCAGGCGCGGAGAGTTGGCACTCCTGCACTGGAGTACTGTGGACTTTCTGAATTGAAATGGTCTGGTTTGGGATGGCTTTGATTCAATAGATCAACATCAAACAACCGACATCAATGTACTTCCAGAATTAGTCAAAACTCCTAGATAATGTTGGATATCAAATGCGACCAAACACTCTTGACTATCTGAGTGGATCTAAGTTAAGTTGATCTATATAAGCCAAGAGTTGTTTCCGAATACCTGTCATTGGGGAGCCTCACGCTCCAACTTCTAAACAAACACATCTAAATGAAGCGCATCAGCGCGAGGCTATCCGGATCTAGGTCTCCACTCGATTGTGGCCGCTCTTTTGCACAACAATGCCGTTCGACTGGCGTCCATGTATGCTGTATGATCATAATATCTTGAGTCCGAGTCAGTATATAACAGTATATATATATATGTATATAGTATATATCAATATTATTCAATACCATTGAGATCTGTTGAGTCAATTAGGTTGTATAGTGTAAAATAAAAAAATATAACAAACATATAGTGTATAATAACATTTAATAACTATGTTAATAATTTCAATATATATATATATACACACTATATATCATGATAGTAGTTATTTTTTAATCAAATAATCATCAAAAACCATCCAGTCACATGGACGTTTTTTTGGCTCGGGTGCTTTTCTTCAGTATCCTCCCTTCGTTTCTCCGGTCGCCTGGCGTCGGTGGCTCTTGGTCTTGGAGACCTGGAGTCGACGGACAAGGGAAAGAACGGGGACCTGAAGAAAGAAAGTAACACAGCCTATTTGAGTGTGTAGGGTTTAGGTTAGGGTTTAGGGTTTAGGGTATATGTACATTATAATATATATATATATATATATCAGTCTATAACTATATGATACTATATGTAGATACACCTGTGTATTCCTGTGTATATTGGTGGACCAACTCTTGCCGGCCATTTCGCTGGAGGTCTAGCCATCGACTTGTTCATGTTTTGTCCAAAGTTCTGTTGAGGATAGCCGTATGAGGCAATCCAAGAGTGTGCGTGTTTAGTTGAACAAGCTGGAGACACTGCGACATGACAAACGTACTATGCCTCCTGGGTGGATCAATGGTCTTCGCTGGCCAAAAAGCGGTATGTATCAAACAAAGGACCGGTCTTCTACAGTCTCTGGAAAGCAACTGCGAAGCCCAAAATTTTTACCGACTCAAACTTCGAGATCTAGTCATGGCTCGTCATGCTCCTGGCTGGGGATAGGCATGTCCCCTGAACACGTCGCAGTTTTGTGGCCATGCATGGCCATACCAGTCCTTGTGGGTGTGTATAAAGAGACCCCTCAGAGGCTGCTGGGAAAAGTCACAACAAACGAAATCCATTGGTTGGGAGGTCCCCCAATTACAAGCCCGGATGTCCATGTCGACATACATTTCCTCAGGTCACCTGAGTCACTCGGTGCTGGCCCGGAGTTGTTTTCCAAAAGAAACAAGTCGACCTCTGCTGCCACATGTTTCAATCAGAGATCCGTGTCAAAAGGGCCAAGGACTTCTTGAAACTCATGGGATTCCGACTCCAACCAGTGGTTCCAATGCTATTATGCTGGTTCGCTGTATCTGGGGCGTCCCCCATCAAGCACCACGCTCCGACATCCTCCTCGGCCGGACCCGACCAGCAAGGCCCAGTGTGTGAAGAGTTCTTCGGAGGTCCGCGACCTCAGTGTCGGCGACTCGGATCAAAGGGCCCCCTTGGCGCACCGCCACGGAAATTCCCTGGAGAATTCATTCCGTGGGAGACATTTTCATGACACGCACATCCCATGAGTCATTGAGTGTCACGCAGCCTATCATCCGAAACCGTGGGTCGTGCCAGTCTCCACATCTTCGAACACTGATACCCCATCCTCAGACCTCTGAAAAAATAAAAAATCGTGACATTCACTTTGCCTCAACCCCGACCAGGGTCAACTGAAAATCTAGTCAAATCCATTTCCAACCTTCTACCATTATTCATCTTTCCAATCCCACATAGTAGCAGCATCCCACGATCGCTTCCGCCACCGCGATCGCGTTCCCGGGCTGCCGGGCGCAGCGGCGCGGAGGACGATGTCCACGCTCCGGGCGCGTTGCAGCGCCCCGCGCCTTTGAGCCTGCGGTGGGTCGGGTCGTCCAACCGCTGACTCCGGGCTGCCACATGGTGCTGGTTCAGGGAGGAGTCCAAGTGTTCGATGCTTTCCACCCAATCAATGTGTTTTAACCAAAAGACTCATGGAACAACAAATGACAACTTAAGGCAAATACTTGAATGAGACCGAAGAAACCATTCCACTTCAAAGCAGTTCGGGATAGAGGTGCCCATTGCACCATCAGTTGGTGATACTGTCGCTCTACACATGTCTACATGCAGTCTTCACTAAGGTGTTGCTCCTGCCGTACATATATAATATAACGAATGCTATATATAATACTTGATACATCTTAATCTTAATTCATATTATGCGTACTTATGCCTTCTTTTCCCGCTCTTTCAAAGTCTCTCTCTCTCGCATACACATGCATAGTATCAATTCGGAACAAACCATGAGAGGTTCGAAAGGCTCTCAACCTATACACTCTTCCAGTAAAAGACATGTTGGTCTCTTCGTCGATTCATGGAAAACGGCACATGCCCGATCCAACGAACGGCGTGTGGAACGGGCCCCCGGGTCGTTCTCGGTGGTGTCGAACGGTCGATAAACCGACTATTTAAACCTATACAGAAACCCATGGCACCAACTGCAAGACTTGACGTCCAACTGAGCTGCTTTCACCTTCTTCAGCTGCTCCATGCACTTGGCTCCCGAAGCCTCCAGGCCTCTCAGTGTGGTCTTTCGAAGGCGCCGAATGTCATGGGGGGTGAACTCCCCACCTCCATGGTAAGTGAGGAGTGTATCTCATTTCACAATACTCCACAGGTTGCTCTTATCACTTTGCAACTACTTCCCATAGAAATTCAGCATGATCGTTCATACCAGTCAGCGAAAAGAACCAACAGTGGAGAATCCTGGGTGTCTGGGCTGGGTGTCTGCCCCTGCGGCCGCAGGCGTGGCCCCTTGCGGGAAGGAGCTGCTGAAGAAAAGGAAGAACGCCCCCTTTTAGGCAGCCACAATGATATACACAGGCAAGAGATTAATCAGATTTAATTAGTAAGTCTTGGCTATCCCATTATATATTCCATTGCAAGGGCCCAGCGGATGATGGTTAGGTTGCAGGCCGGCATCTCTAAAATATAGTTGTCGATAATTAATGGCTTACCGACTATTACAGGAAATAGGACAGACCCAGCCAAAGTTGTGCTTTGGAAACAAAAACACCATCTCCCAGGTTGCGACATGTTGCGACGATGTACATCCACCAGGGAGAAAGCGAGCGAAGGCAACGGCGTCGATCGCTGAGTGGTGAGCAATCGAACACACACCCATCGTCAGATGCCACAAACCCCCATCAAACACCCAGAAGATGTGTGTGTTTCTGCCAAGAACCGTCCACCGGTCGATGACGGGCGCGTCCGCCTTCCAACTGATGCTGCTTCTGTTCGCAGACTGACGACGGCGAAGGCCGAAGAAGTTGGGCGGAGGGCTTGGCGAAGGCCGTGGCGAACGGCGGTGGTGTTTCGGTAGGTGGTCAAGCTTCTCAGCAACTAGAGAGAAGGAGATACCCAATCGTAAATATGTATATACTGTATATATTATAAAGTATCAAGTATCTCACAAATTCCACAATAAAATGGAGAGTAGGATAGAACAAGAGGAGGACTTTTTGAACACGGTGTATAATATTGTATGATTAGTGAGAAATCTCCGCCCTGGCCCTGTGATTGAACCTAATCTACAAGTCAACAGCTGAAGCCGTCAATTTTTTTCAGTCCTCAAAATTGGCTTGAACTGGAAGAAATCCTACACTACCCAGAACCGAACCCCCAGCCAAAGTTGCTCGATCCGGACCGCAAAATCACCAGACCTTCCAGCGAGGTCCTGGTCTTTTCCTTCAGCACCACCCATTGCCAGTGGCAAAAGCACCTGGCCACGCGTTCCGGACCGGACGAACTCGGACGACTGAAAGGTCAAACAGACTGAAGGGATGACTGATTTTGGGACCTCCCATCTGCTGAGAAATGCGCTGTCAAATCATGTCCTAGTGTGTTGAGCAACTTGAAAACCAGCACACAGGACTGGCAGCAGGAAGCCCCGTGATTTTTACTTGTTTTGGAACTACCCACCTCGCGCAAACCTGCTCCCAGCATATTCCTTTTGCTCTGCTCAGAATGTCCGCCCAGGATACTGCTCCTGGCATGCGAAAGTCCAGGTCCGCAGGAAAGGCACTGGTCAAAATCAGTTTCATTGAAGGATATGGATCTTGTTTATATAAGTTGTTCTACTGTTCCCCCTATGTTTCACCATGGAAACCCACACATCTGGCTTCCAGATCAACTCAAGGCCAAATATTCGCTTCTGCAGTGTTTTGTGATGTCGTTCGCACTTCTAACATGAGATTGGAAGGAACAACGCCTTCCTAGACTCCAGCAGATTCTACCTCCGGGGGGTAGACAAAACACACTGATACATCCTCTGGTTTTGCACGTAGCACTTTGGAGTGCTCAGATTCTATGCTGAAAGGAAGTATATAATTCTGGTATAGGGGTCTATGTCTTTCTTTTTGGACGTGTTGGGGCTGTTAGGCGTTCAAGTGATTATTACATATTATGGGTGCGTATTAAAATAGGAAGAACTGCCAAAGAACCCCTGGAAGGACACTAGAACTAGACCAGTCTACCCATTGGTTGCGGGTCTCCCTATTGAAACCATATATGTATACATACACATATATATATATAGATACATGTATATATATACATGTGTATATACATATATACATATATTATAAATATATATATATTTAGTAAGTTCCAAACATGTTCAGCCGTCCAAGTCCTTTGAGCCAGAAGGGAACCATGAAGCCGTTAGCCGTTCGTCTCTGTGAGGGTTCCCTGTCCACTGTCTGAAGCATGACGGCAATGTCATATAAAAGGGAGAACATATAATAGATATGAGTTGTAGCAAGAAGTTGCTAGTCTTTGCATAGTTTAATCTGCGAGTTCTCGCCATTCCAGAATCCAAGGAGGTCAAAGAAGGTGGCTCAACGGCTCAAAGAGAGGTCGTTCCGCACTCGACCCACACACACCTCCTTGGCAGGGGCTTCCAGGCCATTGGCCTGCCAAGAGGCTAATGTTCAAGGATGCAATCACTAGATTTCAACCTCAGCCTGAAGCAGTGATGTCTCAAACATCTCTTGCCTGGGAGCAATCCAATTTTGCTGATGTTTTAAAAGGTCGGTCCAACACATCTGACGATGTCAACCGGCGATACCTAATGATGGAATATAGTATGACACACAGTAACTCAAACAACAACCAAACCAACAAACCAAAAATCAACAAACCAACAAACCAACAAACCAACAACCCAACAACAACAACAACAACAACAACAACAACACCAACACCAGCACCAGCAGCAGCAGCAGCAGCAGCAGCAAGACCTAATAAGCAGGGCAGGGCAAAACCACATCCATATAGAACTAGGTCTCATGTTGGATCAAATTGTCAGGACGTTCGTTCAAAAAGCAGCAACAAACATCTGGGATCCCGCGACCCCGGTCTATCTCTCAGAATCTCTCCGAAAGCTTCCCTGGTCTCTCTCGGTGAGCAACTCGTTTGGAGTGTAGTACTTCTCTGGCCTCAAAGACCCTGGCCAAGAAGTGACCGGAGGACTTGATGGTTCTCTCCTGGCGCGGTGGCGTCCCACCCCGACAAACAGGCCGACAGGTGCCAACCACGTCCGAACACTGGCAATGTGACTGAAGTCTCAAGAGTAGGGAACCCCACACGCAGTGGGTCAGTGGTCACCAGTCATTTCTCCAACTCAAAACGTGATTCATCAATGTCTGAACAGATTTCGCACCAATCTTATCTGGGTGACAACAAAACCTAAGCTCTTCTCCCTGAAAATCTCCCAGCGGAAATCCACGTTCTCCTTGAAGGGCCAGATCCGGCTTGTATTGATCGGTGTTTCCGCCGAAAAACATGTCCAGCCGCTGCATCGGGACGAAGCGCTGCGTCCTGGGTCTGGAAGTCCACCCGGACAATTCCGAAGCGCTTTCCGTAGCCTGGCCACCGAGGGGAAGCATCGGATGAAGCGGAAGCCGGAGTGGGACATCGAGGGAGGCGTTTGATGAAGGGTTCTTTCACCATTACGTTGATCCAGAATCCATACCATGCGCTGACATGCGTGATGTTGTTTCTGTTGAGGTTGATCGGTGATCCAATTCGTTCAGCGCTCAGCACTCAATTTCAGCGCCATGTTCCAATTTGTCCAACATCGACTTGTCCAGAAGTTCTCTGTGGAGTCCGAGATGCGGCTGGTTTGAGGATGGTTTTGGGATCCTTCGTCCACACACCCGAAGCCAGTGGAAAATGGGGATGAAAGAAGAAGCCAGTGTAGAGATCTTCGACCGGAATACTTTTTTATCGCCTGCACTTACAAGTTATATGTCTATTAACCATGTTCATCTCAGACATGACAGGATCGTCTCAATCATCTAGTGTAGAATCTCGTAAGGTGCCAATCCACCCTTGCTTTTCAGTTCTCCACTGGGCCGACTCAATCAGAGGAACCCACTAAAGGATCGAAGTTTCCGTCTAAAGGATCGAAAGCGGTGTGCGCTTGGTGGAGTCAGAACACATGCGGTGGATCTCACCACTCAAGAAAGTATTCCAGAACGTCTGGAGAAAAATACCATGTGATTAAGAATGATTAAGATGTGATAGGGAAACGTAAAGACGTTTTCTCAAGAACATGTCAACCAAGCATCAAAAAACCACCCAGTCACTCCGGTGTCACTCACACCGAGCTCCAGTTCCTCGGTTCCGACTCTGCCCAAGCTCCCGCTCCGCCTTCAGCCCATTCAAAATTGTCCAGAAAGGACCACGCAAAGTATCCCTTCACCTAGCACCGCTGTCAGCACCGCTGTCAGCAGGTACCCGGTGGGGGTGCGTGGGCAGGTGCCACGCCAAGTTTCAGACGATGCAACAGAAACATCAGGACCAGACAAGCGGCGATTTTCACCTCACTGACTTCTCCCAATTGGATTGGGTATACGATTCCCTGTAGTCGATGACGATGGTTAGTAAAGAACTTGTGATCACCTTTTATCTATATACTGTTCCTAAGAATGGGACACACCCCAGTTCTAGAGCTTTTCTTCCCGATAACTATGATGCTTTTCCCGGAGCAACTACTCACTGGGTGAGGGAAAATGGACTTCCAGGGGCACGCCCACTTCTACATGTCATGTGTGAACTGTGTGAGTAAAACAAGTCAAGAGCCACAAAAAACCAAGCTCATAAGCTTCCCCCGACCGCGTCCTGAGAAAAAAGAACAACGCTGATATACTGTACATACATACATATATATATATATAATCATCCTGGAGTAGATAGAATCTACTTTCGTAGGGGGTATTTTTCTTTTTGAAAAAACTCAGGGTTTTTGACATCCCTTTCATTTTATGAAGACTGACCCTATAGATAGAATATAGTGATAAGATTCTTATCAACTCCTCCCATTCTGGTATTTGCTCCTTTGTTATTCTCATGTTGTGTTCCTATGTGTATTATCTAAGCTTTCCTTTCCTTTTTTCTTTTCTTTAGAATGAACAGAGAATAGAACGACCAGAGAAGGAAAAGGACAACAAAGGAAAAGGAAGAGAAGCCCCTACAACCATATTCTATCTATGGGGTTTGGAAGGGCCGGTTTTGAGGAGTGAATTGTTTTTTGAAAATTCATCCATTCTATCTACTCCAGGATGATTATATATAATTACGCTGATCCAAGGGTTGAACAACACAAAAAAAAAACACAATTGCATGAAAATGTATGAAAAGAAGAAAACAAATTTATATCATTGAATATACCTTTTCATTTTCAGGCCCTTTCCCTTTCGGAGGGGTCAAAAGAAGAACCGAATTCACCGCCGTCACCGGAGCGCTCTCGCCTGGGCCTTCCGCTCAATCGCCGCGTGCACGGCACTCAGGTGAGCCCTGGTGAGTCACGGTGGCCCAGTGGTGGGCGGCCAACCCTAAACGATCGACGAAACCTACGACGAAACCTATATTGCTTGCGAACTGGCATGCTCTGTGAGTGGCCGAGCCGCTCGCGACCTAGACAAACCTGAATCCATCCAGGTACGCCGATGCCAGGTACACCGATGCCATAGACCGGACTTGGTGCTTCACAACCGATGGCATCCGCTTGGTTGTCATCAACCATGTTCAAAGGCAATTTATAAGACAAGCAGTGCAGTGAAGAAGTGTGCGATTGGTGGACTTGGAACTGGGTTAAGAAAAGATTTCCTTGTTAGCCCATTGAATGTGGAATACACCATGGATACACCCGACTGAGGAGCTTAGAAGTTGGTGGGACTTATTTTAGACCATCCATGTGTAGTTCAGGAATAGTTACATGGATGATCATGGATGGGTCATATTGTAAATTTATATAACCCTTCTCGCGTCTGGATGTTGAGCAGCATAATCAACCTTTTGGATCAGCATCGCTGAAATCATCGGCTGTCTGAAGGACGCGAGCGGATCCATTTGTATATTCCCAGGGCACCAGGGCGTTTACGGCTTCCACTGCATCCACACATGCAGCTTACAAACCTGCTTGGGCAAAAGATTGCAAAAGAACATGTCCAGTCTCCAAGATCTCGGATCGAATGCTGGTATGAAACCAGGTGTATGATAAACATCAGCAGTACTTGAAAAATTGTACCAATCTAGCTGGGATGTTTGTAGGAACCTCGCCCGCATTTTTCTACCCCCCCCACACACACACCCACAGACGCTGCAGTGGGGTCGGAGGCTGGGGTGCAAAAGAACCCTAGCCTTCCAAGACCTTGAAAAAGAAGCTGGACCTGGTTTTGTCATGTAAAATGAATAGAACCATGGTTATTCAGACTATTAAATACTGCCAGCGTCAAGTCGGCAGGGAGAACCGACCCAACGGTGCCTGAAGAACCGCACCCTCTCTGGATCTTCAAAGTCGCTCGAAGTCGCACGCCTAGTCGACGGCGGGTGAGGCATGGTTAGTAGGGTGGAGTTCTGTCGGGTCGCAAGTCGAGGCACTTCAAAAAGTGCTGCCTGTTGTTTTCTTTCTTTTTTGGAGCGTCCAAATGATCTGGCTCCAGTTGGGAATACAGTCAGTCCGTGCCCAGGCTCCTTCACCAAGGAGGTGGGAAGACCCCCAGCTCTGGGGGTCTTGTTGAAGGTCTGAAGGTGACCAAACGAATTAATTAAACCTCTTCCCTTCGAAACTCTTCCAAAGGCTCGACGCGGCGAGGGCGCCCGCGGGGCGCCCGCTGCGTGGAACCACGCGCTCGGCTCGGCCCGGCGGGTCGCCGGGCTGTGCCTGACACCATCCCAAGGACGAGGAAGCAGGGCACCGGGCCTGGTGGACGAAGCAGGAGGTGACAAGGGAGGTGACACCAGGTGGCCTTGAGCAGTTTATCTGACACGAAACCCAACGAAGAAAACAGGCGTCTCGCGGCGTAACCATGGCCCGACAAATAGGATGATTCATGTTCCTACAAATAGGTGGTGTTCCACGCAACCATGATCATTGGATTATTGCCAGGAAGTGTATTTGGGAGATTCTTACTGACCTTGGACCCGCTTGAAACCTTTCTTCAATCGGCTGAGCCGTGTGTTTTGGCTGGGAGAGCTGATCAAAAGACAGTCCGGCAACGGCTCCATTTCAGTATATAAATACTAGATCAGTGCGGTGAAACATCCATCTATATACCCATATACCATTACTGAGACTAGTTGCCAACATGATGCTTTTCAAGCAGCACACCCAATATAAGTTCACCAGAAGCAATTCCCCAGCTGGTACCTACTCTTCAAAGAAGAAACTCCGTACGTAGTTGACATTGATCATGTTTTCTCCAACACGTCCACAACAACCGCAGTTGGAGGAGCTCGGCACCTCCCAGATTCCAATATTTGTATCACAACCTAAGTCCTGACTCCTCCCCAACAATCCTGGTGTCCGTGGATGTTGCCCCCAACAATCCTCTTGTCCGTGGATGTTTACCCTGAGTTGTCCGGTTTGACCAAAGAGGGGATGCCATCCATGTCACCACGATTGGTCTTCAAGGAGTGTAAGTCTCATCTCCTCCCCCCGGGCAGTTCTACTCGACACGTCCCTCCTCCCGCTTCGGTGCGCGCGCTCGCCCCCGCGGAAGAGCTCGGCCTTTCGTCGAGCTCTGCCTGTGAAGTTGGGGCAATGCATTTTGGTAGGTGGATTTCATTTAAGACCTCCCATGTTCCCCAGTCAGTCCAGGTACCTACATCCATAGTAACTCCATGGGCTGACGATACTCAGTGAGCGTCCGAAAGGCTGCATTGAGCATGCTGAGCAAGAGCTATACTGACTGCATAATAAGTATATACACAGATATACACAGACTAGCATGGACACCCGGGCATCGATCAGCGAGTTCAAAACATCGAGGAAGCCAGCAAGTTCTACGTGAGTAGATGTCGTTCATAACTTTTCAGGTCTTGTTCATCTGGTTGAGTCTTGTTGTTCAACCTGTAAACGGAGAGTCTCCAGCAAATTGCACGAATGTAAAATCCGATGACGGGGGAGCTAAGGCCGTAGTATGATTGGCCATGTGTTTCCTTTGTTGTTGAAAGAAGCTCTAGACCGGATCGCTTGAGAAACTTTTGGGATGATATGAGTTACCATGTGACAAATTCGCTCGTTGTGGGAAGCGTGGTGGGAAGCTTACAAGCACATGAGGGTAGCTATATATGGGTAGCTGATCTATTTGACTTCCTCTCCCCGCCTCCTCTTTGGTAAAGGAAAATGGTGAACAATCGCTTCTCAACGAGGCGATGAAGCAGGCTTTCTGGACAAAGGGTACCCAGTCGCAAGCCGCATTTCCATGCCAGGCCACTGATATGTCAGGCTCACAGGCACACCCGTTCTCCGTGACAATGATGCCGCCCATGGGCTTGTAACGATCCTGGTGCTTGGATCGTATTGGGGAAAGGATCATCCAGGAATCATCCAGCTCTTTTACATTATACTTCTTTGTGAAACCACCGGTGGAGGCTCAAATCCTTCTCCACTGCAGTGAGTTCAACATGGAAAAAACACCGGTTGGAGGCCATCGCTCTTCGGTTTGGAGGCCGGACCTCGTCCCCGATGCAGGCACGAGCCCAAAACCCCCCAGCCGCATCCGCACGAGTCGGGTGACGAGTCGAGTCTTCGGAATTGGTTGGCAATTCATCTATGTCTCACCATACATATCCATAGAGAGACCTGTTGGAATACATACGGAACTGAGCAATACATATATATAGAGACCCCCATACATAGATAGAAAAGCAGATCCATACTAACCATGCATCACCGTGCCACTATCTATTTGGGGATCACTATACAACAATTCAGAGCTGAGAAGTGGCAGTTCCCGCCAGAACTACTCAAAGAAGAGATTTTCTGGAGCCTTCCGATGTTATTGCACCTTGCCTCGTTCTCACCATCAATGAGGAGCCTGAAACTAGTCATTGACCATGGAGTCCATCATAGTTTTCCATGGCCATCAGGGTCTTCACACAAAAGGCGGTGAGTGTAGTGATGTAGTGCTTGACGCGATGAGCTCAGGTGTGGCACGCAGCGAAAAAGACCAGGGTGGAGATTGCAGAATAGGAGCGCCGTCTAAAACACTCACATCAAATGATAGTCGAATGCCACTCTTTAGTCGACTCGGCTAGTCCTCTTCGTATATCGCTTTAAGACCTGGAATCAGTTACGGCTACAGTTACTGTTTAAACAAAAAAGACTGATAAAGTTACTTTAAAGCTTTAAATATAGTTTGCAGGGGTTCTCTTCCTTGTGTTTCCGAGGTAAGCCTATACTTGCTTCGAAGAGTCGGACTTCCAGCCCCCCGCCGATTCGCACGGCCTTCTCCCTGCGTGCGAAGCGAAAAAAGCGCCTGCACGTAGAGGAGAATCTCACGTAAGGACCACGGCACCACGGGCCAATCCATGTCCGTTCTGGCCCACTGGTGGTCCGTGTGCCACCACTCCACGCCTCAAACGCAGTTGGCGACGGTGTAGTCTCGGGCTGTGGGGGGAAGTCCAGTGGGATTGAATTCTTACCATCTACCTCACTATCCTGGCTATGATAGAGAAGCTATTGTGGAAGTGGTCGCCTTGACACATTGTAGCTGCAAATGCTGAGGAGCTGACCGATGTCTTCCCAGTAGCCAGTGCCCTGCGTCTGAAAGGACATTTTTTGGGTGGGCGAGGATTCCAAGAGTCTGTATTGGATGAATTGAACCACTCATAACGCTTAAAGCTAAAGGACTTTTACATACTATTAGACCCCATGCAAGGTCAACAACCGTTATACAGCTTTATTTAGGATCAACAAAAATCAGAGTTTTGTGGCTTTACAGGTTAATGTTTAGCAATTGTTGATAGACTTTATAGTGGTCCCCAAATAGATAGTGGCACAGTTTTCAATATATGTTTATTGGGGATCTACGTTTCTTCTATTTGGGGGTGTATATATATATATATTGTTTGAAACATTATTGCATCATGGATGTCCACCAGAATATGTGGGATTTAGAAGACTCATGAAGACTCCCAAGTTTGGAACACGTCACGTGGAAAGCAACCTATATATATATATGTATAAATAACAAATCAATAAAATATCAATGGGAATGGGAAGGATTGTGAGACAACAGTTAGCATCAAACATCATCCTTACATGTATTACGCCGTTTTCAAACCTATACAATCAAGAAGCATATGTAGGCTGTTTAGCTTCAGATACCGCTTTTGCTTCATGATGTGTGTCTTTATAGGTTCTTGGTATGCAGAATCTATGTTGACATCAGCTCATCATGATCAGTGCTTCTCAAAAAAAAGAGGAATCTCGAGGCCCCAAGAGCCATGGCTTTGTGCCTCGACCATGCCACCGATGCGCTCGTTGGATCCCAAGAATCCGTTGTAGCGGACCAGGGAGGTGTCGACCGACTCTTCTCTGGGCCAGCCAGCTAAAAGGTGGGTGGCCTTAAGTCTGATAGTTGTTAGAGTCTTAACATCAAAGATCATCAAACATATCCGAAGAAGCCGCGCGTGGCTTTTGAAAGGGCCAACCAGGTAGAGCCTGCTATCATCAAATCCACCTAATTGCCTTGAATCGACCCTTGACCATTCGTCTTGGACCAATCGATCTGATCGAATCTAGATTCTAGATCGCCAGAGATAAATTGGTCCAAGGACCTCTTCCTCTCCTATTGCCCACGGTGTCGGGATGTTGGTCAACGTGGCTGACCTCGACGTGGCGGATCCTGCCCAAAACAGGCCCGCCTCAAAGGGCCTCGGGGGTGCTTTGGCCATGTTCCCGCTGTAGCTATTCCTGAGAACGGCTGAGAGGTGGGTCACTAGTAGCCAAGTAGCCAAAGGGTTTGTTAGGGTCACTAGTGAGGGCTACATGGATGCATGGATGGGCCACTTCCAGCTTTAGTACCGAGATGCATTGAGCTATGCTTCCCTCACTTGAGCCAACCAGCAAAGGCCGTATGCGACTGCCTCACGGGGCGCCGTAACCAGTGTAGTGGCACTAAGCCCAGCGACGAACCGCTCAGCGATCAACCTATGAGCAATGGCCTCCAACCTAATAGCGATGGCCTCCAACCTAATACAGTAGCGATGGAACTCCAACCGAAGAGCGATGGCCTCCAACATGAAGTAAGTTCCAGAGAAAGCAAGAAGGATCAAGAAGGACTGGAGAGTTTCTCTGGCAAGTTGACCAACTCCGGTATGCTTTCGGTAGGCAGGCCGGCAAACAGTTGGTTCACTAGCTTGACGAGCCTGCAATCTTTAAAGCTGGAGGATTCCCACCTTTAAGAACTTGAACTTGGAGGATTTTTCCCCAAAAATATTCCTTCTATCATTGAGAGAGGCTTGTGCGTTTGTTTTCACCAACGCACCTTCACCATCAACAACTTGGGAGAACTGTTGCTGAACAAAACGACTGTTGCTAACATACTGTTTCAGCAGATCGGATCCTTCGGATTCCAAGCCTTTTAGATCCAAGGCTCAACCCAAAGAAGTCGCTGGACTGGAAGAGTTTCTTCTTCTCAGAGGCAGAGAAACTCGGCAACCTTGCTCACCCGGGTCCCGAACGAGTTGCTCCGAGTCCCGGAGCTCGAGCTCGGCCGAGCTAGGGCGAAGGGGGTGGCGATCCATGTTTGAAGTACATGCTGCCAATCAACCCTCCCACACGGGAGTGCAAAGAAAACCTCAACTATCTAAGGATTGGTTCATTGACAAACAGAGTCAAATATAGTTGTGTCTCACATAGAATATATCAATTCAAAAATAATCCTCTGGTAGAAGGTGATGAATTCTTTCGAAAACTAAATATTAAATGAAACAAACTTAATTGGTGGTCCCTCATGTTTGGCACCACCACAGGTGGTGGTTGGACAGGAAAAACAAAGGTATTGTATGGTATTGTGCCCTGGTAAGGGCAGCATATGCATGACAATGTATGACATAATACACGTGTTAAGTCTTTGGGGTGTCTTGTATACTGGAGTCCAAGAAACCAGAAAAATCGATGACCAAGCGGTGAAGCAACACGTTTATTTTTGGCCCCAAGCCCAGCCCGGAAGTCCCACGCGTTGGACGTGATCAAGAAACCGATCTCCACAGCTTTCTCGCATGCACTTGGGATAGTCCTGCGTGGTGACCCCAGCTGCAAAGCACCCTGGGAGGTTTACAAGTGACTATTTGGATCTACTTTGGTTGGTGGTTTCATTGAATCATCGAACAATATGAGCCAATGTGGCTCGATCGTGACTCGATCATCCCAAGCACGGTCGTTAAAAAGATCCGAAATTTAAACCGTCACCCAGCTATATGTAATTTTGCACTGGACAGTATATGATACACTATGTACGTGCACAAATTCGAAGCCCAAAACTTTGCCTGTTGCAAAGTGTGCCAAACTGATGATGATTATGCTTAAAAATATCTAAAAATGTGCTAGTGTCCACATCAGGACTGTGGACGAAAAGCGTCCACAGATCGTTGACACCGCCCATCCCGCTCACCGACAGGCGCCACGTTCCGGAATGGCCAGAAGCCAAACGCACGAGCTCCGAAACAGGCCGTACCAAAGCAGGAGCAAGGATACCGACACCATTTTCACATTCTGTGTGCATACATACTAAATGCAAAAGAACGAAACCATTACCAGGCCTCATTGACGCCAACAAAGGAGGATGTGTAAGAATTCACTTTCCATGAACTATCTGGTCATTGGCACTCAGGAGCCGACCCATACGCCGTAAAAGAGTGTCTTTTAGGCCAAAAAACGCACTCCGTGATGCCTGGTGAGATGCTCGTCCCTGAGCATGTTCGATGGTTGAAAGCCACCTTCATTCCAGCGATTCCAGCTATGTTTGTGGGTCATTCCATGTGGATAATATCAATTGTGCATTTAAAGGAACCCAGGTACTTCATTCCATGTGAGTGGTGTTTTGGGTCCTGGATGTCCAATTCTTTAGGGGCCTTTTTCAAAGGCCGTCAAGTTCCAGTCCCCGTCCCAGTTCCTCCAAGCCCTCCCACTGGACTCGTCCATCGGTCCCCGAGGTAGATGGGCTCGGCAAACCAACCCAAGGAGAATTCCATGGCCCGTCGGGCCGCCTCCAAGTCCTGACGGACATCTTCCGCACGGGCAACGGGTCATGTTGGGTGGGCTGGCCGAGCCCGGGGAGTCCGACTTGGAGTGAGGGGGGTTCTGGTTGGTCATGAAATGGCAGGTTCCAACAGCGCCCCAAGAGCCCCCCAAACTTCGGTTGCCGTTCAAGTTGAGCCTTGAGAAGCATCCAGCATCCATAAAGTATAGCCAAAGAGAACCTAGAATATCCTAGAAGCCCATGGTACTGTGACAAGTAAGATTCACCGCGGGTGCACCACTTGTTCATCAATGGATCTGAATATGAAGGGATCTACGAGGCATCCAAAAACATCATCGGAAGGATGATGATCTGCCCCACCCCAGACACTTTCTGAGGTCTGTGTCCATTTGATCTTGGCAGTTTGGAGAGGCACGAGCCGAGCAGCTCAGCAGCTCATGGCGAAAGTGGCACCTAGAATCCTAGAAGATCTGGAGTTCCTCTTTGGGGAAACCACTTTCTGATTTCGAAGGTGGCAGCATTGTAACATGACCCCGGTGTCAGTTTAGTGCTTGTTAGTGCTTGGAAGTACACTCTGACGAACGCATCACATGGTTATGTGGATGCCATGGTCCCGAAAGGAATCCGACTGAACCCTGAACACGGCAGTAGTTCACATAGTGACATAGTTCACTCCAGCCTATGAACCAAACCATGTGTTTGAGTCGAGGAGTGTACTGATTCACTCGGTGTTGGACAGGCGCCAACAAAAACCATGTCCTCCCGTCACAGTTCGCTTCCTCGCTGAAAAAACTGTCCTCCTCTCGCTCGCTGTCGGCTTGTCGCCAGTCGGCATTCAACGAAATGCCCACCTGTCGGGTTTCGGCACGAAACCGGCACGCAGGATTTTCTTGTGTCCGTCGATCCCAAAAGACATAGAATCTATCATAGAATGCTTGCCGATGGCCTTTGAATGCAAACGACTTTCTACAGGGGTTTTATGGGTCTCCTCATTTGGGTTTGTCCCGTTTGGAGAGCCCCAACAACTTCCTGGGTTCACTCGAAATGAATGATTTGGACCTTCAGGGATCTACAGTTCCGATGTGGGGTAGTGGGGCAAGCATTTTGTATAAACGATATATGCTTTACTGGGAGGTCTTTCAATGAATTTGACAACTATTAATCTGTCGTCACATTGTTCAGTAGGCCTTTGAGATGTTTGGTTCCAATGCAAGCTTACTAGATCTTTCAATAAAGAGAGATCCGTGGCGGAGTTACCACCCAGCAATTCACAAGCACCTTCCAACACCTCAAACATGTGGGGTCTTGAAACGCACGTAGGGCCATTAGGTCTTTGCTAGCAAAACCAGTGTTCTCAAAAACATTCAAAAACCATCCACAAAATTCTGGTTTGGGATGAATACGGGTTCTGAACATGAGAAACTGAGTCTGCCAAGAAGTTGCTGGCGTCTTGTGCACAAAAACACGGGTGTTCCGCAACACGGGTGTTCCGTAAGACAAGTAAAACATGTGTTCTCCTAGCTTGGATTTGCTTGCATTGACGAACCTGGAAAAATGAAACAACAAAGCATATTCACCAGAAGGGGGTTGAACCATAAGGAACCTCATGTGGAGTATGACAAGACTCCATCTCTGACAGGATAGTTTACCCTTACGGACCTTCAGTGAGTGTCAAACAGACTGCCTTCATGGACCTTGGGGACAAGCACGCGCGCAATAGACTCTTCTCACCCGGGTGTGTGCTTTAATAGGGAGACCGGGAGCCCTGGCTAGCTAGACTGGTCTGTTTCCCGAAGCTTCCAGGGGGTCGACTGATGTTTTTGGGATGGTCTCCCTATTTCAACACAGGGAGGTCTCCAACCTGCGGACCTGCGGGTAGACTTGAGCCGCCAAAATCATCGCTGCAAGCGCTCCAGACCCCTCGGCCTCGCCACCCTGCTGTGCAAACTCCTGAGGTGAGGAAGTGCGGACGAGGAAAGCTGAGCGGAGAGTCCATCTGAACATATACTCCGCTCCAAAACCGTCTATGAACTATGAAGTTTCGAGATCACTGTATCATGTGAGCAACCGCATTGATATACCGACATAAAGAATTTGCTGGGAGGTGGCCGCATTTTGTTTGAAAACGGTGTGGCCCCGCTGAACGAGGTAGGGGTAAGCTATAAAGTGAGATCTCCTGTACATGTATAGTGTATAGTGCTGTGGCATCAGAGGTACTTAGAAAACGAGACTCCAAAACAAGCACCAATGTCAAATTCAATTGAATGAGATGTGGGAAATACGACCATTACATTTGTATAGGCATAGGCATATAGAATTATATTTAAAAAGTTCATTATACTTTTGAGCAACCCGCGCCACGAGCGGTTCGCTCACTTCGCTCCTCCCGGTAGATCTGGGCGGCTTCTGCATGAGCCAAAAGCAAATGATGGCCTGCGAGTCCGGCACAGCCAACGATCTCGGTCCTTTGCTTTTTCGGGTTGAACAAGTCGTTCAGTCACAGTCAGAAATATCTTCAAAACCAAGGACGAGCTGGGCCTGGTCCAGTAGCTTAAGGACTCAGGACTCAGGACAGTCAAGAATAGTTGGATTGGTATTTTAATAGGGAAACCCGACCCGCGTCTATTTTCCTTCTTGCAGAGGGTCCTAGAGGGGCCTCCCTATTCTAGTTACCAAATGTCCCTCTGAGGTTCCTCCAACTGTTGGGTATCGAAAAAACCCCTCGGGACCCACCTGCGACGTAGCACGCAGTGTCCGTTTCCTCGGTGTAGCCGGGTGCATGGTCACCAGTGTTGTAGCCCAAGACCTGGGAAATGACAAGAGCGGAAAAGCTCAAACAGGCTGAAAGGGTTCTGTGCTGTTGATTCAACCTGCAAAGGTTTTTGTTTTTTCTTTCAAGGTAATACAGCAACCCCGTTTTGCCACCATTCCAAAAGTAAGCGGAGACGGAATCTGTAGATCAATGTCGCAGCCCTCCAAGTGGCAAAGAGGTGAGTAAAATCTTACAACCCCCTACTGGTTCTCGCAAATGTTAAGATCATTGATTGAATCATCATTGAATCATCATTGAATCATCATTGAATCATCATCATTGAATCATCATCATTGAATCAGCATCATCATCATCATCATCATCATCATCATCATCATCATCATCATCA